TTTTTCTTTTATCTTTCAAAATGTGGAGTACTTTATACAAACAATTTCATATCCTTCAAACTTCTGGTTTTTGCTTATTAATTAGTAATCAACTACAATTAGGTATCGTAGAAGAAAAGTAATTTCTTTTTTTCGTGTGTGTGAGACAGAGTCTCACTTTGTGACCCTCTGCAGAGTGCTGTACCATCATAGCTCACAGCAACCTCAAACTCTTGGGCTCAAGCGATTCTCTTGCCTCAGTCTCCCAAGTAGCTGGGATAACAGGCAACCGCCATGATGGCTAGCTATTTTTTAGAGATGGGGTCTTGCTCTTGCTCAGCTAGTCTAGGACCCATGAGCTTATGCAATCCACCTGCCTCAGCCTCCCTGAGTGCTGGGATTACAGGGGTGAGCCAGCACACCTGGCCCTAAGAAAAGTAATTTCTGAAAAATTTCCCTTTATCCCTGTGGAGGCCATATGTCATGCACAGGGAAGTTAAGCCTAGCATTTATGGTACTATTTAAATGTAATTCTCTATCTTCATCGCCTTCATTTCCCCCTGGAGTACATGCCCCCAAAGTGTGAAGATCTTTCTGTTCTCAGGGCTTGTGCCCATGCCCTGATTGCTCCTCAGCTGGCTTCCATTCATGGAAGCCTCTTGCGCTCTGAGATTCCAACCTTGGAATGAACAGATGTGTGTAGACAAGTATAAGATGCTAGGGGGCCCAGGTCCAGGCTGCCTAACAGTGTCCCAAGTTGGGCTGGATTCCCACTCCTGCTAGGCTGCAGGCTGACATGAACCCTGGGGCAACCCTGAGCTTCCTCCACTGTCTAGCTCCCTCTCAGAGTGCTGGAGGCATCTAATGACCCATGTGAAGGCACTTGTCATGATGGGGCCTTTGGCAAACAAGCCTGACTGCCACTGAGGGGTCACCAGGAGGTGACCACTCACCCTGGGCAGGAAGGGTGTGGAGGGCTGAGAGGTGTGAGGAGGAGGTGCAGAGGCCTCTGAAACCTCAGCCCCTGACCTCCATCCCTCTGCAAGCACCTGTGGCTCAAGCGGCTAAGGCGCCAGCCACATACACCTAAGGTGGCGGGTTTGAATCCCCAGCC